CTTGTTACCTTTGATCACCTCGACGACGTCACAGTTGGGGTCGATGCTCCCAATGTGTTTTGGGTGGGCAGGGTTTGCGCTTCCGCCAAAGATCAGCGCTGCGGAAGGACATACGTTCAAGATACCTTCAGTGTAAAAAAAACATTCATATACAGCAGAAGAACAGCTGACTTATGACAAACAAGACTATGTTGAAGATCCATATTTAGCAAAGGCAAACGTCGGTCCTACAGTAAGTTAAGGTTTAAAACAATGAATCGTGTTTAGAGTCTAGTCCCAAACAGAAATCATAGTAGCTGATTTTACAAAAACATCTAGTTGACGACTTAATCAAGACAAACGCTGTTTTCAGAATAATGTACAATGAACTTAAGAGAACCTTAAGATTACCATTTTAACACTCTCACAAAAATAACTTGCAGTTAATTACTGCACAATATTTTAAATGTTATTATTACTGAAATAAATATAAGCTTCTTACTTTTGAGTATCCAACACGAGGACGAAACGCTGTAACAGTCGTAACTTGTCACTGAAACTACGGTACATCAATTTAGATTTCGTCTGAGAAAGGTGGTACCCATGTGCTTACTATGCTGGTTCATGAGCATCCGGGTGGATATCCGACTCATGTAGAAGCGGTCAAGGAAGTACTGCACGTTCTGATTGGTCACAGGATCCACCCCAAAAGCCTCCTTGTACTCGAGGACGCCCTGAGCCATAGTGGGAACCACATTGTTGTGTCTGTTCCTGATGTTAATGAGCGTTTCTGTAAATCTGAAGAGGAAACAGTTAATTGTACCAAAGAGGCAGTTTACACTACAGGCAGACCTATGTGCTTCTGTGAGCAGCTGCCACTTGCAAAACATTACACATCATCTCGAAAACACAAGACGACATTAGTAGCTTAGTCACAGACCCCCACGTAATTTTGGCTTGACTTCGTTATAAACTCAGAGAAACACAGGTCCAGGCAATAAGAGTTTCTGGCTAGTTAAGCACCTAAAATCTTAGTTTGATGTTAAGACTGATCATAGATGCTTTGTGACTTCAATTTGTATAAATTACCAAGTTAATGTTGTTTGTGAAAGCACACTTGACTTTAGTCAAAACATCCTTTGGCAGAACTTCTAACATTGGTTAGTATTTAACGCATGCTTTTGAACTATGTTACATGAATAACTCATGCTTGAACACTGTCCTGTTAACTAGAACTGCAGAATAAACATTTTATTTTAAACATGCTTACACTCATTACAGACAGCAGAAGAAATCAATTGTCACAAACAAAAGTAACAAATTACTGATTCTTTTATTATTGTAATAGACAGTGAGATCCGCTTTAAGATACCTATCCAGCACAATAACACGCTTTTTTCCCCCCAAACTTACTTTGACAAGATCTTTTTATCTTCAGGATCTTTCTCCAGAAAATCCACTAATTCCATTAGACTTTGCGCATACCTACGTCAAAGTCAAACTGGTCAGTTTACTGAGCACAACAAAAACACGTGTTTAAACGCCAGGTCTAATAACAAACTGGTACTAAGTACCAAGTCCTGAGATGGAATGCTTTGTCATCTAAGAAGATGATCATGTTTAAGGTGATGTTTATCAGCAGTTCAGAGTGCTCTAAGCTTGTACAGATAGATGATTTGATTTGGATACATCAACACCTAAGATGAAATCTGTTTATGACTGTGACCATAAACAGTGATTTATGGCACCAAACCTGGCTTTGTAGATGGATACAGTGTAACATCTGAATAGAGGATCAGGGTTGCCAATTTTTACATGTCTGGCATGTGATTTTCAATTCGAGACAAGTCTGCACATGCATTTACATATATGCAACAGTTTTTATTACCCTGTAAATAGTATGTAGGGTTAAAACTACCCAATGCTTTAGATGTGGCTTATTTTAGGTTCATAATGGAATAATACAGATTTGCCACAAGATTTCTTGCGTGAGCGTTACAGCCGGAAAATGACGCGCCAGATGCGTGACAGTTGGCAACCCCCGGAGGACCCTTTAGTGGTGGTCAAGGTCAAAGATATTTTTCACCTCATGCTCAGTCATTTTTAAAGTTTAAAATAGACTATACCATTGCGTTGCACACTAAATATGGTGAATAGAGACTCTGGACAACCAAACTTTGAAGTTATGTAACCACTACACCAAGAGGTGGTCATTGAAAGAAAGCTAACTTATAATTCGGGATAAATGTCAATGTTTAGTATTATAATCAGGGTGAAAACTTGATCGTGCATTTACCAGCTCTGCAGAAGCTGAAGGGAAGGTGTGCCGAGCAGTTTGTCAGGAAGGAAATCGATCTCTTTCATGATATTTGCCAACCTGACCGGGAGTTCCTGGCGCAAAAATACGAAAGAGGTCTTCTCGCATGCGTTGGCAGACCCTGCGGAGGAAAAGACTTGCATTAAAATAGTCCATTCGCAGCTTGTACTTTTCAGTTGTTAATGGGGTTGTAAACAAGGCATCAGGCGCCATTGTTGAAAATCAAAGAATCAGACGTTAAAGCAGAAAGAAGCCTGCATTTATTTTCGAAAGCATCCAACTTCAGACATTAACAACAAAAAGGATGTGGTAATGTGACCGCGAAGTATTCAAATGCATGCCTACGAAAGTGCATGACAGTGTTATTCGTTTTTTTATTCGGTAACCTTTCACCTATATTTTCTAACATGGCAAAAATCGTGGGAGCATCAAACCAATAGGCTACGGCACCGATGCTATTTACATGAACCATGCACTAAACATGTCGGCCAATAACGAGACTGAGTGCTTGGGTAAAATGAAACCGACAAGGACGTGGCTAGATCTGGCCACAAGTGTCCGAGAAAAAGAAGACAATAAGTTAAAGTTAAACGTAAATATCGCCTGGTTAGAATTACATTGCCAGCTGATGCTTTTTACGAGACGCGGGATACTGACACCGGACAGCGAGATAACAAGCAAAACTGAGCAGATCAAGGCTTGGTCTGAGATGCACCAAGTTACCTCTCATTAAAAAGAAATAATTAGTCAGATATGGTGTAGCTACTAGGGTCGTGATCATGCGTAAGAGCAGCTAAGTCTGGAGATCATGCAGTCAAGGTGAAACATTACCGAAATCTATGAACTGCTTCATTGACAGCGGAGACGGAGAAAATTTCGAAAACCTATCGACTTGTTTCGGTATGTTGCCCATCGCGCTGTTCTTCAGCAGAAACTGTACAAATTTCATCTTGACTTTGAACTTGGATCAAAACCCAACGTCGCCTCGGCTGTTGTTTTTCTTGCTCGGCGCCGCAGCAATCCCCGAGTCGTCCGCCCGAATCGCCGAACACGTCCACCTAGCAAGTCAGCTATCCAGACTGCTAGTTATGGTCAGCGTATTATGGAACGGTTTGTCATAGTGAAATAAACCAGCTTAATGAGAATGGAGCGTCCCTAGCTATACGTGCAGCATTGTCAAAATCTATGTCACCGTGTTACTTCCTCGGGCCCGCCCACACAAGCGGTTGTGATTTGATTGACGTCTAAAGTAACGAATAGTGGGACGTGACGGCAGCCACGGGGCGGGGCCAGTATTGAACCGAGCGCGACCCCGAAGGCGCGTTACCGCTCCTCCTAAAAGAAGCGTTTCGGCCATGTTGTGCGGATAGCTGTACGTCGCCTTTGTAAACACCAGAAAACGGGGGTGGGGCGGAGCAGTCGAGGTTCTGCCGAAGACACTTTGGCCGGGCGGTCAAGCCACTTATCGCTCCTCTTTACACTTTAATTCGGCATTCTGTTTTTGTGAAATGATATTTTCCTCTTAATATGAGTAATAAACAGTTGCGTATGCCCGTGGACGCCACTTAGTTTCCATGGCAACAGTGCAGGGCGGTCTACGTTATCTATAGATAATGTATATCATTATATAACGTATGTGTTAGCAGGGTAACAGCAAGCTGTACATTTTTTACATGGGCCATATTACTGAATCAGCCTGCTGTAAACAGCGAGCTAGCTAACGCAGTAAAAGAAAAAAAAACTCAGGTAACACAATAGGCCTACATAGTACGATTTTTAGTGTAGGCCTACTTAAATATAAATCACGAATACTACTACTTTAATAATGATAGATAGATAGATAGATAGATAGATAGATAGATAGATAGATAGATAGATAGATAGATAATTGATTAGTATCACTCGTAGTCATTCGTCAGGTAGGCTAATAATTCCGATGGTTTGCAGAATGTTTGAGGACATTGCCCCCTACTGGACACGAATGGAATTGACACTGAATAAAATGCACTTTTACGGACGGTGGGCACTTTTTAAGATAAGTCTTCGTCTACGATTAGAAAATATTCGAAGATATGTACGTTTAATAAAAAATGCCATAAAAGCAATTTAAATAATTTGGTATTTTAAAATTGCAGCTGTTTATTAGCACTAAATGTGTGGTACAGATATTTCATACATCGAAACAATTCATAACAAGCTGTTTATTGTTAAATGTCAGATTTTGATAATCCACTGTTTGTAAAGTTTGGTGGAGGGGGGATTATGGTGTGTGGTAGTTTTTCAGTGGTTGAGCTTGGCCCCTTAGTTCCAAGTGAATAGAACCCTTAATGCTGCAACATTCAAAGCCATTTTGGATAATTTCATGCTCCCAACTTTCTGGGAACAGTTTGGCGATGGCCCCTTCCTGTTCCAACATGACTGCGCACCAGTGCACAAAGCAAGGTCCATAAAGACATGGATGAACGAGTCTGGTGTGGAGGAACTTGACTGGCCTGCACAGAGCCCTGACCTCAACCCAACAGAACACCTTTGGGATGAATTAGACTGGAGACTGTGAGCCAGGCCTTCTCGTCCATCATCAGTGCCTGACCTCACAAATGCTCTCCTAGAAGTATGGTCAAAAATTCCTATAAACACACTCCTAAACCTGGTGGACAGTCTTCACAGAAGAGTTTAATCTACTTTAGCTGCAAAGGGTGGCCTATGTATTAAGAATAAGGATGTCATTAAAGTTCATGGGTGTGTAAAGGCAGGTATGTCCCATTACTTTTGCCAATATAGTGTATGTTGCTAATAAACATGCCCAGTTGCATTCATCCCTCTTCCATACAGCTTATAGTGTCCGGTAAGAGGTATCGATTAGCCTGGAGTCTCAGGAAGGGTGGGGTTCCAACCCGAAACATCGTCGGCAGGCAGGATGAAGACGCCTAATTAAATATTAACAAAATGTTATCAGATTACATAACTACTTGACTACTTATACAATAAATCTTTAGAACCTATCAATTAGCTGATGGACTAAATGGAATTATGTGAATAAATACTAAATGGCATACTATGAATACATATTAAATAGAATTTGTTGTGTAATTATGGTAACATTGTACGACTACTTGTATTGTTAGTCTGTATCTGTCCTATGGGTGGCGGTACTGAGGCGGAGGCCTGAATGGAATAGAGAAGGGGATGCATTGCAGGACCAGGCAGCGACATAATAATAGACGATTTTCGATACATTTCATGCCGTACCGTTCTGTAATATTGTTTACGTATTTTTGAATAGCTGCAGATTTTAGTATTGTATCCATATTTTAGTCTGCATTATTCTGGAAATGGATGTGTGACAGGCTCGCTAATACAGCATCTTTGGAGAAGATACGCCGAAAAAAGGTATCTAGGTTTTCAATAATGACATGCATTTTAGAAAGTGCGTGATAGAAACTACAGTAGATTTAATTATAATATCGATTAATTGATATCCACATTTCGGCACTTTCTGTTGATTGTCTTGTTATGGAAGAAAACGATTGGTTTATGTATCGTTTGTTCTATCAATACTGAGACTAGGTCGCCAAATGGAGTGCATTATTGTACACGGTATAATCCGTGAACACATAGCTTATAAAATGCGATGAGGTAATACATGGGCCCATGTACCAATTAAAACAAATATATTGGAAACGTGATAAAACAATAATCGTTACAGATTATGAAATGATTTACGATGCATTATCTCAAAATCGAATATAGAACAAATTATTTTTAAAACAACGGCACATATTTGCCCCTGCTAATCAAAATTAAAGTGAATGATGTATTGCTTTATTAATTATTATTCTAAATATAAACGGATACGTGTATGTAATAGTTTTTAAATATAGCTACTTTAATGTATATATAAACCTGTAATATACTGTGTGTGTGTGTGCGTGTGTGTGTGTGTGTGTGTGTGTGTGCGTGTAGTGTATATACTGTCACTAATGGATTTCAAAGGAATATAGACGACTCGGATAGCTAGTACTCTTTTTTTCGTTGTTGCACACACCCACGACTCACTTGTAACGTACATACTATATAGTATTTTATTTTACAAAGATAATTACTGTTATAGTCAGCGATGCTTCTATTATTTTTGGTTTTTACCTTACACTGAGGAAATTCTTAATTGTTGTAGATTTTAATTTACAAATTTATAACCCCGTTTCCAAAACAGTTGGGACATAGTGTAAAATGTAAATAAGATCAGAATGCAATGATTTTCAAATCATATAAACCCATCTTTAACTGAAAATAGAACAAATGAATCTGAAATTTTGTTTCGTGAGACCACAGGATTGGTATTTTATTGTTTTCCATTTTGCCTCAGTCCATCTTACATCAGCTCGGGCCCAAAGAAGGCAGCGGCATTTCTGGGTCACATTTAGATTTGGTTTCTTCTGTGCATATTAGAGTTTCATCCTTGTGGATGCAGCGACGAAATGTGTTCACAGACACTGGATGTCAGAAGTGTCCCTGATACCATCCAATGATCTCCACCATAGAATCCTGTCTGTTGTTAATGTTGTGCTGCCTGAGGACTCGAAGATCACGGGTATCTAATATTGGTTTTCAGCCTTGTCCCTTGTGCACAGAGATTTCTCTGGATTCTCTGAATCTTTTAATGATATCACAGTATATACTGTTGATGATGAGATTCCAAAATTCTTTGCAACATTACATTGAGGAACATTATTCTTAAATCGTTGTACTCTTTCCCTATGAACCTCTCCCCATCTTCACTGTACAGAGACTCTGCCTCTCTGACTTGCTGCTGATTAACTTAATCAGTCATGAGATATTCAAGCAGGTGCTTTGTTTTAGCATTACACAACTTTTCCAGTCTTTTCTGGTCCCTGTCCAAACTTTTCTGAAATATGTTGTTGCCATCAAATTCAAATCGAGCATATATTTGTCATAAAACAGGAACATTTCTTAGTTTCAAGGTTTGAAATATTGTCTTTGTTCTATTTTCAATTAAACATATATCATTTATATAATTTGCAAATGTTTGCATTTTGTTTTTATTTACATATTACATAGCATCCTACATTTTCTTAGAAACGAGGTTGTAATCTTTTGCGATGTCTCAGCATTGTCTTTTCACAGTCATCTATATGAAAACATATTGTTATGTTAGTTTATGTTGTGCATTTTCAGTCTTTTTGCACTTATTTTATCTGTGTTTGTCTCTTTTAAGTGTATTTTTTTTAAATAAAGTTTTATTTGCTCTTTGTCTTGTGACTTGTTTTATTTGTCGGTTTGTGTTTCCGTTTTGTCTGATTGTCTCTGCAACATACATTCTCACTGTTGACACCATGAATGTGTGAAGGTGACAGTGCCATACTGCCTGGCTACCTCTGTTAGCCACTCCTCTTTATAACACTGCTAGCCTCTGCAGCTATCAGCTGTAGGACTTAGAAGGTAAGACCTGCCTACTACATGATGTCAGTTTTAATTTTTTACCATCATTCTAGACTACAATGTAAAGGTGGTAGGGTCCAAAGACATTATCTACATAAATAGGGAGCGCATTTACATGCGATACAGACTGAATAAGGAATGAAGAATGTAGACCTATTGCTATAAATGTCAAAAGGCATTGAAGGTAATGCAGTTAGCTACAAAACTGGTGTCCCCAGGAAACTTTCAATTTACAGTTATTACGGTATTTAGTATTACCTCTTTTTATCTGATTGCTCTCATTTGTGAAAATTGCAGTCTATAACTATAATGCAAAATATGAGAACTTGAATACAGTAATTCATTGTAGCGGTGATACATTATACCTAGGTGTTGCCAGTTTGCATCTTCCAAGCTTGTAGACTCGTGCATATGTGAAGGTCAACATTTTTATGAATAATAAGAGGCTCGGTGCGATGCATGTTGCCCGTGATTTGACCAATCGAAGGATACCTAGGTAATCGGCGTCAATAACTCCATCAATTTAGTCAATTTGGTGCTGAAAAATCTGGAGCAGCGACAATGGTGAGGGTGTAGACTGGCACCGTGGCAGACAGCGATGCAGAGCAATAACAAGCGACATATTGTGCTAAAAACACTTGCACTAGGCTCCTGCTACAACTGTTCAGATGATTCATTTCTGTTTATTGCTGAGACAATTTGTTTTGTTATGCTAGAAGAGTGACTGGTAAAGTGTATTAACGCAGCTAACGACGCATTTTCAGTAACCTCACTGAAATGTCAGCTGCAAATGAAACAATCAAAGAAAGTACATTTCAAATGACTCATTTTTACTTAAATGGGCCCATTAGATATGTAATGTGCCTGTTTTGTTACCTGATAGCAAACAATGGCAGACAAAAGTGACTTAAAAGCTGAGCTGGAGCGAAAGAAGCAGCGACTTGCGGAGATCCGGGAGGAGAAGAAAAGGAAGGAGGAGGAGAGGAAGAAGAGGGACGTAAGAAGTCAAGTAAGTGTAAATATGTCTCAAGGGTTTTCCTGACCACATGCACCATCTTCTTCATCATCAGGCTCCCTTTTGTGGGATTTCCTCATTTCCACCCACAGGACTGAGTTTCTGTCAGCATAGTTTTCATGCTGTTTTGTCCTCCGTTCTTTGGCTGTTCATTAGCTGCTCTGTTTCCAGTAGAAATGCAAGCAGTGGCTGAGTGATCAGTATCTGCTGTCTGTGTGTGTAGTCAGAGACACGGAAGAAATCGGAGGCCGTCCCCGAGGACTCGGATCTGGACCACAAGCGGCGGGAGACTGAGGCCCTGCTGCAAAGTATTGGGATCTCCCCAGAACCGCCACTAGGTATGGACCACACAACCAGTCTTAACCACCATTTAGAGCAGACCACACAACCAGCCCTAAGCACCATTTAGAGCAGACCACACAAACAGCCTTAACCTCCACTCAGTTCAGGCCACATAACAATCCTTAAGCTTCACTCCCGTTAAACACAGAACCCAGAGACAGCCTTACCATAGATGACACATCCTTGCCTTGATTATGTACAGTCCACATGTCCAGTAAGATAGAGATCATGCTCTTTTGTTACTTCAAAGAGCTGATTGTGGATTTTTGTTCTCTGAGAAGTCAAAACCAATAAAAGAGGCGCTATTTTACAAGACCTAATGTTGTATCACATGCGTTTTTCTTTTTTTAACCTTTCATAACCGTTACTTATAATCAGTAAAAAAAAAAATTCCAAATAATTCCAGGATGATGTGTCATGTATGTAAAATAATGCATAATCATGGGTGTATCACTGCTGTATTGGTATTTTATTGTTATCATCATGAAATTACAGAAGGTTTGTTTTATTGTATCATTCATTCATTCATTCATTCATTAACTGACTCATTCATTCTCCATACCCGTTGGTCCTGTTTATTGCATCATTTAACCTTTTTTGTAATTGATGTTTCAAGATCTTTTGAAATTTAATTACATTTTTGTATATAATTCATACATACCTGCCAACATTTGGTTGTCGAAAAATATGGAGGTTTTGCAGAGCAGGGATGGGGGGGGGGGTTCCCCGATAATAATATTTGCAGAACTGCGGGCAGTTCCAGCAATACAATTTTCATAGCAAAAAGTATAGACTTAAATACCTGCAGAAAGTCGGGGTTTATCGGGATAATAGTAAATCAGGAGAAACACAGGGAGTATTGGCCTATATGTTGTTAACAACAGGAATAGTTGTATAACTTTACTACTGAAAAAGCAGTAATTTTGTAGTCCTGGTATAGGAAAGACTATTATCATAATACTGTACATCGTGTAAGGTCCGAAGTTCACTCTCGCTGGGGACATCTTGTGGACAAAAAGCAGTAAGACACTCTCTAAATTTGTAATACAGATAAGTGTTAATGTTAGGTTTGATATGAATAAAAAAATGAAAATGAAATGATACTTTGTTTGCCATTTGTACAAGAACCTTGAAATGCTTTAGAATTTCAGACATACAGAGGTGAGAACAGAGCTTGGGGTTCAAGCGCAGGGTCAACCATTAATCCAGCATCCTTGGAGTGCTTTTCTTGGTTTGCAGGTCTTGCTCAAAGGCCCGACAATGGTGTGACTAGGCTGCGGAACATGAGATTCGAACCAGCGACCTTCCAGTCGCAGATACAGATATATAAAACATGTCTTATCAGGACCCATAAGAAGGCTTCGGCCCAAAGAGAGCACGAAATCACACCATCACTGTTTTTTAGAGATGCCCTAAAATAACTTTTCTGTTTTTAAAATCGATTGCAAATAAGAGTAAACTTTCCTGCATTTGTCACATTTTTTTTCTCTTGAATTATTCCGTTTGTTTCCTTTAACCCATTTCCACTCACCCGGTCGGTTCCCAGACGTCCCCTCTGCTGCACCTTCTAACATGGGGCCCCTGTCACTCTCCTTGTTCAGTCCCGACCCATGTGTCGCCTCCATCAAAGCCAGGGAGCGTGCCCAGTGAGGTCGGCCGCCAGGATTCCACTGACGGAGCAGTGCCGGGAAGGTGGGCAGGCTTCTGTGCCTCACGTGGCCAATCAGATCGTCACGTTCCACCAAAATGATTTCCTAGACCCAGTGATGGTGTTCACCACCAATCAAACCCCAAGGCACTACACTAAACATTAAATGAATGCATTTCTCATTTAGGTCATGCTGAAGCAGCATGTTCTGCTAACTTGCTAAACCAATGAACAGGTGACTTATCTCTACCATCTCACAGTATGAAATCTCATAATAATATACATGTTAATATGGGCTGGTGGCCTATGTCTGATTTTTGTTTGGGAGCTGGGAGGGAGGGAGGGAGGGAGGGATGGAGCAAAAATGTGGACTGTCTGGCAGGGAGCTGGGAGGGAGCAAAAATGTGGACTGTCTGGCAGGGAGCTGGGAGGGAGCAAAAATGTGGACCATCTGAAGGGCCCTGAGGACTGGATTGGGAAACACTGGTTTAAAGAATAATTGAGTGTCTTTTCATGCACTGATGACAACATTAATATACTGTTTACATGCCGTCTGACCTCTATTGTGTTCTCCCCTTTGACACTCTGAACGGGGCTACCAGGTACAGGTGAGGCTCAGCATCAGTTCCTTGTATGACTTCAGTCTCCATCACTGTCTCCATGGTAACGTGGCACTGTGCCTGTGTGTATGTGCTGTATGACTGCATTTCCGTCACTGTATCACTTTCAGACAGTGCAGACAGATGTGCAATGCAACATCTCAATTTTAAAACTGCATTTTCTTTAATGGCTTGTAACAGAATGAGTTAGATATTGGCTGATGAATGTGCCTTATATACTTGTGTTACAGGTAATAATTAGTAATTTAGGTAACTACATAGTGACTGATGCACTTTACAGGAATATGAATAAGGTGGATTACAAAGCATGGAATCATTTCAAATTGTCATTTTCAAAATTTATATAGGAAGATTTTATAAAGGATTTTGCTTTGTCTGCCAGACATAATAAGATTTGCTTCCTTATATAAAATCCAATAAATGTTCTGGTTCGTTCAGTTTAATTGAGAACTTTTGGATATTATGTTCCTAAGCAATGTTTTAATTACTAAATGTGTTCTGATATATGCATTATAACCAGGTTAGTCTGATTTCTTTTGGTTTTTCCTTAATGCATGGGTCCATTCCTGCTTGCTTTGTTTACAATGGAGTAGCTGTCATTCGCTTAATCAGGTTCTCCCTCTGTTGTGCTGCCCCCTCCTGGCCCCTCAAGGACATTACACTGGGATACTGACCCTTCTGTCCTGCAGCTGCAGTCTGACCCCGAGCTTGGGTGCGTCTCGCCTTCTCCTCTCTTCCTGTTTAGGAGCTGTGTTTAGTCAGTTTACCACCCAGGGCATGTGGAATCCATTCGTTGAGGTTTTTTTTTTCTTCCTTTGTGTTGCTGAATTTTGCGGGTGCTTTGAATCAAGGTTTACTATTGGGCGTTTAGCTCATGCACTTGGCAAGATGCAGTTTTTGCACATTTATTCAGCTGATTATTCTGCTGTAACAATTCAGGTTAGGCTCCTCTCTCACTTGCAGCTTACAAGTCCATGTTGAAATCCACCGCTGTTGTCAGATTAGGTTGGGTCATTATGTTGGCTCTGCACAATGTCTCCCAGGCATGGCGGCTGATGATGAGTTGGGATAGACCTCAGTGTTATGACCACTGATGACTAACACAGACAGACTGCATGACGATGGACCCCCCAGCAATGCAGTAAAACTGTTTTTAATCTCCAGATCCCGGACGCAGAGACTTGGACCATCAAAAATAACACAGGTGGACTTCCAGCCCAGGGAGTTGGTGACGTACTCCAAAGAAACTCAGACTCCCTTGGCGGTTCTCCAGTCTGAAGGTGCGTTCGGGGGCCGTGTCTGGCCCGTGCAGTTGATGTAATCCAGTGCAGATGCTTTTGATGTTCTGATCAGTGAAGATTTCTCATGCAGTGCCGCTCATTGCTCACTGTCTGAAGGCATCATGCTCAGTCACGCAAACGAGGCAGAGCAGAATCCACACAAAGCTCTGGACTGTCAGTCCATACAGCCTCTCTCTGAGTTCCGCTAGTGGATTAATAAATACAGTCAAATACTTCATCTGTATGAACGGAACAAGTAGGTGTTAAACATACATATATCCATCCAAGTTCTACTTGTTTATCCAGTGTAGGGCTGAGGTATATCTGAGGTAACATAGTGCACAAGTCAGGGATAACATGTACATGTACAGAACACCAGCCCCCTTAAACAGAATGTAGGCCTATATTTTTCACAGTTTTCACAAGCACTGAAGAACGAACAAGGTTCAATTAAAAAAATGACAAACTATTACCTGTGAAACTATGCTCACATTACTAAACATTTAATTGCCTTACTTTTGCTGCTCTAATCTATATATGCCACTGCTGAATTTAGTTCCTTCTGACATAAACCACCCTTAAACGCACACTTTAATTGGGTATTTGACATTATAACCCTGTAAGTAAAAGAAGGCAGAAGTAATGTCACAGTCATTTAATTTTCCCTATCCATCCTTTGATTATTCAGTTCAGATCGATTTGCGGGGCCGTTCATTTCCTGTAAGGTTTGTCAGGAGCGGTTTTTGCGGGAAGGATACCAGACCGTCGGGGCTTCTGACTCAAATCAGGGGACAGCAAACACATTGGCAAGTGCCGTAAATGGATACAGACCGGGCGGGCACCCTGGATGGTTCCTTTCAAAGGGCATCACCTGGAATCGGGCTGGCGCTCTTGTCCCCCGGGGAGTCCAGGCACCATCCCATCTTTAATGGCTGTAATGGGAGCGGCATGTGTTTCCCCACCGTCTGTCCGATTACGCCTATTTATGCCTATCCACGGAGCCTCGGCTTTCCCTCACAAGACGGCGGTCTGCAGTGATGGTCGCTCTCCTTCTTCTCCGCGCTTTATCCGGACGCGGATAAATGAGCGCCGCCTCTCCTCCACCTGCGGGTACGGGGAATCTACAAGAGATCCGGGGAAAAAAATAAATATGACTTGCAGGACAGGTTAATTAAAAGCAGATGCTTGTTTAGGTATATAATACAAGATCTGGGACATATTCCTAGCGTTGATTAGATGCTAACACGGCGATTTGCTACCCGAAGTCCACACGAAATGCTTCTGGGCTTTATGTTTAATTCCGAGTCCGATCGCGTTTAACGCACTTTAGTTCAATTATTTTTTATTTATGACCATGTAAAGAGAAGCACACACAACACCCGGCTAATTTGGTTGTATCCTCCAGACTTGCAAGCCAAGACCGGTATAAAATACAGATGGTTAGACAGGGGAATTAAGTACCTCCATATGGACCTCTAACAGGGTTACGTAGTATTTGTAGGTAGGCTAAATTTGAAACGTTTGATTTATTA